TCTCTCTCTCTTTCTTTCTTTCTCTCATTTATTTCTGTCCGACTTTTACTCTAATATACTGTAAAATGAAGCAATACTCATACATCAGGTCGTTTTTATGTCCTTACGCTCGTTCTGCTTCTGTTCATCAATATTACTTCTTTCCTAGCACGAAGTGATCGTTGTTGTATATAAGATGTGCTTCTCTTTACTCAAATACTACAGCTCAGCTTCTGTCAGTTGTGTGACTGGAAATGGAAAGGGCCACTAGTTGGCCCTACTCCTTTCTTTCCCTCTGTTGTTTATGTCTGTCAAGTATTCTTTTTCTTTACACTCAACGGCCGTTGCTAGACTACTGAGCGTACGGCCGTGGTTCAAATCCCCAACGAGGTGTTTTTGAATGTGGGCTGTTTTGGGGAGTAAATAAGGCTCTTCTCTCATTTGGCTTGGTCCTGTCAGAGAAAGCCGTTAAAATTCCGAGGTCCTGCTTTACAGCGTTGGAAGAGGCGTTTATTCTGTACAACAGCAACACCATCGTATTAAGTCCTTTATTTGTGTGGGTGTGTGTCTCTTGCCTCAAACGAAGAGATGGCCTCCGATGTGCTTCTCTTTAGTCAAAAACTACTTCTCATTCTTTTCGCTGCTACCTGACTGCAAGGCAGAAACTTTCCTCCTTAATTATCTTCAAGTTGTGTTAATGGACGTGTAAAACTTGGAGATATACCGTTAAAACAGACATCGGCAATCATGCTTCGCCATTCGTTTCTCTGCTTCGTTACTCTGAAAAAAAAATAGTATGTTATCTTGGTCTTTTCCTGTCACCCATCTGTTCCAGTTGTCTAAGTAAGTTGCCCTTTGTCTTCCTCTGCCTCTTTTGCCATCTATTATCCCCAGTGAGGGCAATTAGTGTTCTGGATCTTTATGTCGAATCAAGTGTCCTTGGAGTGCGTAATTGGAGGATGTCACATGTCGGTCCTACTTCTTCTCTCTCCCTCTGTAGTTTATTTCTATTTGTCTTGCTTTTTCCCAGCACTATTTGAAACTAATTGTGTCGATGTGCTTTTCTTTACTCAAACTCAAACCGAAACTGTGTCCTGGGAATTACTAGACATGTTTATCCGGTATCCGGCAGGTAGCTCTGACTTCAATGCTGTTCTTAAGAGCCTGTATTGTAGAGACACGTCTTCAAGACAGGCAATCTATTTCCCGAAATGTCTTCTTTTGTCCTAGTCTTTTTGGGATCGTTGAAGGTTTCAACTCTTGTGTCTCTGTATTGTCGGCCGGATGGTCGGTTTGCTCCGGTATTGAATGGAGAACATTATTGCATACATTGAGAAGTCGTTCCTTTCTGGGTTTGTTTTTGGTTTTTGGGTGGGCATGTACCCTCATTATATGCACAATAAAAGACACAAAAAGTGGTATAAAGCGTCAACAAAAGAATTTTACTTTAAACGTTTGTGGCAAAGATATTTCTTCAACACTAACTTGCACACATAGAGTTACTGCCCCAGTGGAAATTACAATGCGTTAACACACGACATTGTCATGGTTTAAAGAAAAATGTTCAATCTGAAAAAAAAAGACAAAGACAGAGAAGCTTCTATAATCACCAAAATGGAGAAGGGCTGGAGAGAAATAGAAAAAGCGTTGGAAGGGGGGGGGGAGAGGGAAGTGCAAGAGGAAAGACAGGGGGAAGGTCCAGGTATACTAACAACGTTGAGGAGTGGGTGAGAGAGAGAGAGAGAGAGAGAGAGAGAGAGAGAGAGAGAGAGAGAGAGTGTGTGTGTGTTTATGTATGAAGCGGAGGTGTTTCTTACAGCATATTGAAATGTGTGCCATTTCGTGTTGTGAATATATCTATTGCATGAGTGCACATGAACCTTGCAATACTTGTACAGTGGAAACCTGATATAACAGGGATAGTGGGACCATAGAAAAGGTCTTGTTATATCAGATCCCTGTTAAATCAGAAATGCAAGGGATATAAGCAGTTGTGGACTAATC